TTATATTGTTGTATATACACAGCAAAGCATTCAGCATGACTCTGATAAAAATTATATATCATAATACGTGTTTGCACAAAATTAGTTTTCTAATTTTCTTTGTCTGTATTGCTGAATATCTGCACTAAATATCAATAGCTTATGTGTTTTATTTTATAAAATTTCCAGCTGATTTCAGCGAATAGCTCAGAATCAAACAGAGAGAAATAATGTTTGGGAATTTTTGGCTGTAGCCTTGACTACAGTAAAACCTGCAGTTCTTGATCCTCTGAGGTAAAACTGCTGTCTTTCTACCAGAGGCTGTTTGAATAAGTTCATATAAATCACAGTTTGGTGTAGAATCAGTTTGTGGTCAAATAAGACAAAAAACAACTTTAAGCGTAGCTAATGACCTTAACTGACCAGTGCCATGTAAAAATGTATAAATGCAGCCCCCTAGTGGAATAAAAGTGCAATAATATGATTCATGACAAAGCAGTTTAAACTGTCCATAACATTTACCAAACTTAGGTTTCAATGCTAAGACAGCTGTCAGAAATTATCCCCATTGTTAATATACATTCTTGAACATAAAATGTAAGGAACTGTCAAAGACTCCCCAGGCCCAATTACCTCAAATTCAAAGAAGCCCAAAGCCACATGTGCACATACACAGTCTGTGAAACACAGCCTATTTAATAATGTTAAGTAAACTATATTGTAAGCTGTAAGTAATCACTGTTTTTTCACAGAATATATCAATTCAATTACTTCATGTAATGTACATGTCAATTTTCAAAAACCTTCAAGGTCTTGATTCTTTTTCTGAAATTAAAACTTTCAAGGATATCGTGGAGCTGTAGGAAGAGAGTGAATCCCAAGTCTAACAAACCCTGGTTAACTAGTCAGTGTAATTAAACTTACCATAAACAATTGGGTAGACAGTGCCTCGGATCCCAGAGGCAGGACAATGCATGTTCTTTCCATTCAGATATAAGTTCAGCTCCACGTGGTCGTATGTGATGCCCTGAGACAAATAAACAATATTAACCACTGAATTTTTACATGCGGATGTAATCACACATATAAAACTGGTTTGAAAACAGAACCCTTTATGTGAAACCAGTAGATTATTGAAGTGGCAGTGGTGGTTGTGGGTCTCTCCAACACAGCTCACACAAATACAACACTGCCAAAGAACGTTTTAGGAGTTATTAAATGTATATGTAAATGTTACATCTATAGTAGCTTACTTACAATAAAAGCTGTTTTATGGAAATGAAACCGATAAAACTGATGGCAAACAGCAATTTGGTTTGAATGTGATAAACTATGGAAGGCAATGCAGGCCACATTAGATCATGCATTACAATGTGACTGTTGCTGTCAGCCTGCTTCCTTAAGGGAAAAAAAATTCTACTGTGGGTCTTGTGAGAGCTGCAGGGCAGTCAGCTCCAGCAGGCTTCTAACACATGATTACTCTGTAATCAGGGTCTTGTAAACACACACAATCTGAGGTCACATGGTTGCTGGAAGACCATGAGATAGCTCAACATGTACTAGACTAGATTGATAAAAAATAAATCTCAGCAAGCATTAGTGCAGCAGCTTTAGTCTGCACAGAACGTCTTCAGACAACACATACTTTATCTTTGGAATCCAAAACCTGATTTCAGTTCATTATAAATTTTACTATATATCTATCTCTTTATGGTCAATTCATATTTAATTGACAAGAAGCAGACTCACATTAAAATAATGTTCCTCATTTCAAGATTTACAAGCAAATGGCGAGTTCAGGATTGAGTACAATAAACTGTGCACTTACAATAATGTCCCCTTCCTGGGGAAGGCTGTTTGCAGGCAGACGATTCTTCTCTTCATTATTGTGGTACACAGACCCATCATGCCTCAGGACAAGGCTGTTTGTGTCTCTGCCCAAAGGCACTTGATTAAGATTCACCTTCTGAGTGGCCACACCAACTCCCCACACACCTACACAAAAAACATAACCTGCTATTTAAAACACCTTAAATACAGTTTAAAATGCATTCTGATTTATGACATATTCATAACGACATGTTATTGTAAAATCAGTCTGTGACTAGTGTGAAGCTGCATTAGGGCCTTGCTTAATATGTAGCCTTGTAGTTGTAGCTTATTTTCAGTGCCCATATCCTGCTTTTTGTATTTTTCCTTCAGAGTGACCTATAGCTTTATGCATGTTGAATGTCTGCTAAATTACAAAGACTAAAAGCTGAAGCAAGGGTCGCTCACGCCCAATGAAAACTCTCCTCCTGAGGTGCTTGAAACAACGCTTTAGAATTTTTTTCCTGTAAAGCATTTATGCTACCATGTATGTTGGCTTACGGGCAGTTTGGCTCAAAGTGATATGGCAGGATAGACCCATTGTTACCATTACTCTAGTGGTGTTTACGGTTGATCAGGAAGCCTCTGGGTAAGATGAGTTGCATTTATGACACACACACACTCTAAACAGCTGAGCACAAGACTGGGCCAGCTGACCAGTTTCTGGGCTTTTTAAGATGCAGGCTTAGAATTAAAAGAAAATGTTTCAAATAAGAGGATGAAGAGAAGAATGTGCAGTATGAGACAAATAATGTGCATTTTGAACAGAATATAAACTGTTTCTAGTAGACCCACAAATTAAACTTTGAATCTATAAATGGCCATGATGTGTCCCACATATCAGAGTATGTACAGTACTTAATCATCTCTATTTATATAGTTTGTCCACACACACACACACACACACACACACACACACACACACCTTGCTTCAATGGCTGGACTGGTTTTAACAAAGTTATACACAAATAGAGATTATTACAAAAGGGTTTACTTACAGAATTCCACCAGTGTGCATGCAGTCACAAGATTGTTTATCTACCAGGCTCTTGTGTTTCAGAATCAATAATCACCACAAGAAATGCACTAGAAGATGGTGGTGTTGAAGGGAAAGAAGGAGAGTAATGGAAAGAGGGAGATTATCAACCAAAAGCCAAACACCTACCAGTGGACTGGATCTTGAACTCAAAGTAACTTTTGTTCTGGTGCAGAGGAGCATTGGCCAGACAGCTTCCAGTGCCACATATCCTCCGGCCACTCTTTACAATGACAACATCTGTGCCTAGACGAAAAAAAAGGAGCAAGAATACATTCAGATGCAACAAACAACTGTGTTCACTGCCAAAGACTGTCCACTGTTTTTTTGAGTTATCGAGTTGTTTAATCTATAATATGTCTGCCAATACTAGAAAGTCCCTATCACATTCAATTTTCTAAAACCCCCTAATGACAGCTTGTCCAATCAACACCTCATTGTATAAATCATATCAACTGGTGAAACAGAGCAAATGTTCAAATGTGACAAGCTGGAACCAAAATGTTTGAGATATTTGCTTAATACATGACTGAGAAAAAAGTTAAATAAACAAATGACATCTTACATAATTGATTCGTTTTGTGTCTGCTGGTTAATCTGCTAATTAATTAAGTGTTGCTCCAAATGTTTTTGGCCTATTTGAATTCTCTCCAAGTGATAGATTTAAAAAAATCCAGAACGTCAATCCAAAAAAGGGAATTCTTCAGTTGCATTTCTATGGAAGTGTGTTCTATTCACTTGAGGAAAAAAATCAGCCATCACCCAGAGAGCAAACCTCAAAATCCGAGAAGCTCTCACTTAGCCTACTTTGAGGGCTGTGAAGCGAACATGTCCACCTTCTGCAGGTGGGTCAGGTTTTATTTTAGATTGAGACACTGGGATTCGATCGAGTCTTTAATTAATATTGACAGCACTGCTGTTAGTCTGTTGGCTTTGCACAGGCGCCTCAGGACTCGTTCACACATTGAGAACAAGGATTTTAAAATTGCCTTGTTCATCCAGAAAAACAATGAGATTAGTTTGAATCAAGTGGATTTTAAATCCCAGCATCCATCACTGTGGTTTCCCTGATTGTTAGAGTTGCAATGTTAATTCGCGTGGTGCGTAATACAGGTAGAAGAGTATAGATCGTGTACAAAGAAGGAGAGCGTTCAAACACACAACTGTTGCCACCTTATACAAAACTAAACATTTCACATCGTAGTTAGCTAGCTAGCTAGCTAATGCTAATGCTAAGGACGGAAGTAGCAAAACGTCGCGTCACATCAGACACAGAAGACGAGTTATAGAAGTGACTGTGGAACATTGTGAGGGCTACAGACAAACTCACGTACCCATGTGGTGAGTATCTAACTGAACTGTGGGCATTTCTTTCAGAGCAATGTGCCCCGAGCCGCCATCTCCGCAGCAGCCGAGACAACACGTAAACATCGCTGCCATTCTTTCCCCCGATACCTCGGCTGCACATCCGGAAAAACAAAGTCGCACCATGGAGCCAAAGAGCGTCCGGTGTTAACGCCAAACGTCACGCCGACACACAACAGCGACCCGCCGCGGCAGAGCGCGGAGCTGCATAAGCCCCAGCCACACAACTGTATCCAATCACAGCGGCTAAGATAGGCAGTTGCTCCTGATGGCATGGAAACAAGGGAAGAAAATCAAGGTCAAAAATTTCCCACACGTGACTAAGTAACTATTGGATATCGAAGTTACATAACCACAAAGTGAACAGAAAGTGAGTTTTGTTGGTGGGCAAGTGTCAAGAGTGTAGCGGTGGATGAATGATGGAGTGATGATTCTGATCCATGTAGAGGAGAAGAGGATCCTCAAAGTTTTGTTGAAGTGACAGAAACATCAAAAATGCTGCTTTCACAAGTTTGATCTCATTTCCTGTTCGCTCATGTTCACCAAATAATGTGACACTTGTGTTTTCAGTGCCAAAATGGCATGGACGTTTTTAATACCAGCAGATGCAGCCAGGTGATCGTGTCGGCTGTTTACTTGTGCGTGTTTTGACATGTCTCCACACGGGTGACTGAAGTGGGCCAGTGTAAAAAGCCCGTGATGCCAAGATGGGACTGAAACCTAGTTGACAGTTTTTCACGCTGTAATGTTTTGCATAGCAACAGCCCCTCCCCCATCCGCCTGCCAGGGAGCCTCTGCATCTGACCCAGCTGCTTCAAAAGCGTAAACACCCCGACGATCAAAGCCAAGCTGTCAAATAAATCACCACACAAGCAGCCCTCGTGTCGATGGTGGTGAATATCACTCATGCACGCACGTGTGCGCAAACACAGACGAATCGGCGCATCTTAAAATGACCGATCGTCGCTGAAACAGTTAACTCCAGACCCGGAAAGGGCGAAGTCTGCACAGCAACAAGCGCCATGATTGCGTTGCACTGTGCGTCTCAGCAGCTGGTGAGTGATTCTTTTGGTCCAGTGGTTGCATGTTACTATGCGCTTGCAAAATCTGTCACAGCCCTCCTTCACTACCTCGCCAACAGGAGCGACGCTAACGCGAGCCCCGCTTGTCGCTAATTTGTCGCATTGGATTGGTTTAGGCAGCAGTGATTTAGGATTCAGCTCAGCTCAGCAACCGTCCTGCTGCTCCTCCAATACAAAGCCAGGGGGGGAATCATCTGCTGTTATAGCTCATCTCTCTAAAGTTATTTTTGATTTATCTTCAGTGCTTTTAAGTTTCTCGCAACTGCTGCTTACAGTAGACATCAAAGCAGGATGTTAGTCAACATCAGATCGGCAGATGGAGCGTCTGGCAGAGTTCGTGTCAACGTTTTGCGCTCGTACAGCGATGAGAGTCGGTTTCACTCTGAGGATGGGAATACTCCTGCAGACGCAGCTGGAACATGACTGCAGAAATCTGTATCCTTTGCGATGCTTCAGCATTTTTCGATTGTAGTTTATTGCCTCTGCTGTCTTATGTGGCAGCATGTCTCTGAGCGAGGGTGCGTATTGTGTAGCCTAGTTTTTCTTTTTTTATTACGCGTTTAATTTTTCTTTTGGCGTTATTATGTAAACAATGCACCATTTTGACGCATGCATAATGTGTTTACAGGACACCATGGAGCAGCTAGAGGAGGAACTTACGTGCCCGATCTGCTGCGGTCTTTTCGAGGACCCTCGGGTCTTGTTGTGCTCACACAGCTTTTGCAAGAAATGCTTGGAGGGACTCTTGGAAGGGAGCCGAGGTCCATCATACAGAACACCTTTCAAATGCCCCACATGCCGCAAAGAGACGCCTCACAACGGCGCAAACAGTCTCCAGATCAACTACTCTCTGCGCGGAATTGTGGAGAAGTACAGCAAAATCAAGGTTCTGCCTAAAATGTCTGCTTGCGCACAACACAGCGGTCAGCCTCTTAACATGTTTTGCGCCACGGACTTAAAACTCATTTGTGGGTTTTGCGCAACAACAGATGAGCACAGAGGGCATAAATTCTGCTCATTGGATGMGGCATACGATCGGGAGAAGGCGGCGTTTGAAGAGCTGCTTCACGGGGTGGAGAGCTGGCAGAGCGCCGACACCCTGTCCTGCCTGGAGACACTACAAACCAGTAAGAAAAAGGCGCTTCAGTCGGTGACCAAGGACGCAGAGAAGGTAACAGAAT